TCATCACATTATCAGTGTATGGCCCTTGTTGGTAGTTCTCCATTTCTGCAGTGACCACATCTTCCAGTCTTGCTGTGCGTCCACGTATCTGTCCAGCAGTCCTGTCCACATTCTCGGGATCTCTCTCTTGCAGAGCCTGGACACATTTGTTCACATCTTCCAAGACATGAGCCTCTGATGGATCACAACAGAGAACACCCTTTACACCCTAACATCAATGTCCAGATTCTCCATAGTTTTACCCTTCTCTATAATTATACCATATTTCCTTTGTTACTGACCTTTATCAGAGGGAGAATTTGATTTTCTTGACCTTAATGTGTGATTCTGTATTCTAAAACCAAATTCCCCTAACTACATGTAATTTACGAGGTTTGCATAGAAGCTGAAGGCAGGAATTAACAATCAGATCTTGTGAGTTGAAAGAGCTAAACAACACTGCACACTTAGTGACAAGGGCACAGACAGGATATTCCAGTAAGGGGTCTCTTTGAGGGATAAAACTGGTGATAGCATTCAAAATCACCTCATTATCATAAATTTAATCATCATTTATTATTGATGAAGATGGTTGTCACAAACTTCCTTCCACTTCCTCTCATACAATCATTAAATGCACTTACCTGTAGTAGCTAAAAAGTCTTCAATTCCAGTAATGTCATCAACAGCCTCAGTGAGAACCTGCAATTGCTGTTCCCAAGCCTCTTTGAACACATCCATATTTTCTCGAGCCACCTTACTGTGAGGACGGGCAGCAAGTGTTCGAGCAGCATTAATTACCTACAATTCATACATAAATACACATAATAAATGTCCAACTGTAAAGTTACTGCTTCGAATCTAAGTACAGAACAAAAATTGAGGCAAATTTTCCAAACCATACTTTTGAATAGTAGAAGTACAATACATACAGTTTTTGGAGCATACTTTTTCCATTAAAACTTTGATCCTTAATTACAATCTCTGAGTCACTGTTTATGCAAAGTTGTTCTTACCTGAGGACACAAGTTTTGCAATCTCTTTGCTGCTAGTCTCACCATTTTCACCTTCTCAGGATTCACTGACATTGAACAGGCAAGATTTGCCACCTGAAGAAACATGAAGAGCAAAAATTGTTTTGAAACAGATGAAATAATGTCAGGTTACTATGTAATCCTTTTGATAGAGATTCAGATAAAAAAATTAACCTATCCCTTAATCACCATGGATTTATTGCTTTAAGTTTTCTGATAGATTCATGTGTCTGTCCTCTTAATTTGTTTTCCAGTATGGTAATGTATGATACAAAAAGAGAAAGCTAAAACTTACACTAAGGATGAAACTGAACAGTAACAAATATGCACAATGTAAACTATTGAACCAAATAACTAAACTAATTAAAATGAAAAATCACCTCTTCAAGTTTTGCAGCATGGTCTGTAAATAACTTGGCACATTCTTCTACTTCTTTCTCATTCCCAGCTTGAGCTGCTTCAATCATCATGATCAGAGGCATTGTGGTCTCCAAGAAAGAATCAGAAACATGATCCACAACTGCACGACGCAACTAGAAAACAAAATCAAGAAATATTAGTGACTTTCCTTTAAAGTAAGAGCCCACATTCTGGCCAAGCACTGGTTGATTCAAATGGACTTGCAGATCCAGTCTGCAGCAGTAAGAGGAATGGAGTTACATGTAAGTAGACTTGCTTTAAAAGACGTCAGTGATTAAGCATCTTCAAGATGGAACTGAAAAGGCAGGATTCAGACTGATGTATGAAAGGAGGAGGGCTAGTTTCACAATGCTAGAACTAGGGAATCTGGGTAGGTCAACACTCTAACCTCCTAGCATTCATCCCAGATTTTGATGACAGGTGTTTTCAAAGGCCTGCCAAAATCACTCTTAAGGGGAAAAATAAAATATCAAAAGCTGCCATATTCATGAATTATTTTACCTGGCCTCTCAGCTCCCTGGTTCGGTTACACATCCTTTCCAAGGCTTGGTCTAGAGACCCTCCAGGAGCAGCCTTCTTCTTTCCTGTGGCCTAAACACCCAAGAAAGGAAAACAAAATGTCAAAAGACTGTGACAAAGACTTAATTTCCACAAATACCAGATTCTGCAAAAACATCCCTATACCACAGCCTTGGCACTGAACAAGTCAATCTAAATTTTAACCATTAACAACCTAACATCAGTATGCACAGTCTCCACTGTTCTCTACAACTTTGTATGGTACTGAAAAGGCAAATTTGCTGAATAATCCACAGCTTCTAAAGTTGATGATAACTCCTTATTCTTACGACTAAACAATTGATTCACCAGTGATACTGTAAGGAGAATTATGGGTCAACAGCTGGAGTATTAAAGCAGGTTTTAGATTGGACCACTGTCCTCAAAAAGTCCCATCAATTTACGATACGTGTTATCTGCATGAGTAATATGGAGTTCTTACATGATTCATATACTCTGACAGTAGATCCTGGAGAGCTTGCCGCACACCATTACAGCTTGCTATAATCTTGTCCCGTGTATCATCTCTTGTTGACATTGAGTCAGCTAACTGTGCTGCTCCACTGATGATGCTTTCAAGACGCTGCTCCAATGTGGGACGGGTGCGCTTTTCAGAGTATGAAGTTGGATCCATGTTGATCTGGGACTGAAATACAAAGAAACATGCACAGTTTAAGCTGTACTACATGACTGGATACTTTGAAAATAAAAAAGGAAGCTCATCCTAATAACTGGGTATTATGACACAATTTAATTAATCACATGAATGTGATAAGATGGAATAGCTTTAGGTTATATTGGATAAGTATTCCTCTCAACATGTTCTATAAGTATCACTCAGCTAAGCACATAATGCAACATGATGTTAAAATGCTTCTGCATAACTTTTGTATCAAAATGTCCCTCACTGCCATACCCAGTAATGGAAGGAGTGGCAATGCTGTGTGGTGACAGGTGCTCACTTTGAAATCTGGGGGTTCCAAGGTAAACTATGAATTGTGCCTTTAACTTATAAACAGATTTATCCATGGTTGTCCCATGTTCAATTCCCCTGTGGCACCTCAAAAGTAGTCCACTAGTTTGCCAACAACAGCTGAGACTGTAACCAGTTAATACTAGATATTCACTTATTTCCTTGCTTAGGCCTTACAGTGTCTGACTCAGTAAATTTCCAAACAGGTGCTAATTGCTTGATATTAGAAAAATTTGATAAAATTTGTTTTTCTTCACAATCTACTCACATCAAAGTCATCCAAAGCTGTTGCCAATGCCCCTGGAGTCTCATATGGGTGAGGTCCACCTGAGCCAGTAGCCTGTGTTGCCCCTGAAATGGCATTCACTGCTTCAGACATTTGCTTCATCACAAAATCCCTGTTGGCTTTTGCAGAATCCACCTCAGGATGACGCACATAGGCCTAAAAGAAGCACAAAGGTCAGCACAATGCTAAAAAAAGTTCTCAATTGAAAAGTTTTATGAGACACCCAGGTACTTAAGTTTTGCAGAACTTACATGTCTCTAGGTGGGGGAGGTTTCCTGTATGTGTATGTAATTTTCCGACATCCAACATTCATTGAAAGCAATACAAACCTAGAATTGTCTTTCAGTCATTGACAGATTTTAAAATAAGTCCCTAATGAAAATTGTGCAAATCTCCAGCTGTGTAGTCTCTGATCAAGGGGAGCTTTAAGCCCTTAATAATTAATTGAATGGTTTCTATTTCTTTTAACTGTTAAGTACAACTAAAAAATAACTGCTAAAATACAGCTGCTTTAGATTTGCAAAAGGTCAAGTAGAACTTGCCTAATAAACACTGATACAGCTGCAGATAATGATTTAAAGGAATTTACCTTGGAGGAGGACAGCAGCATTTTACTTGACTCTTTAAGAGTAGCCCTAGCAGCAGCCATGTCATCTTTCCTATGTGGATCTTTTAAGTCCTGAATATTTCAAGGAAACAAAAGTTGAATCATTAAATGGTGAATTCAGTGTCAGTTTAAACTGTCTGACCAAGAGGTCACAGAACCAAGAAACCTCTAGAAAACAATACTAAGATCACTTACTGCTTGTCTCTTGCCGGAAAGTTTTGCCAAGTCCATCAAATCATTCCCAAGATTCTTAAAAGAATTCAACAAGTCTGCAGTGTTACTAGCTTTTTCTAATTCCTTCAGTCTCTTCTCCACCTAACCAAAGTAAATAACAAAAATGATTCAAAATTAACTTATAAAACAACTACAAAATTAGATTAATGCTTAACGAGAGGGGATTATATTTGTGTCAACAACTTTTTGTGACTCCTGAATCAGACCCATAACTGCTGACACATAGGATCTTCTGTTGGTCAAAGATGCTGATGCAGAGTATTTTGAACCACAGAGCAAAACTTCTAACCACTTGAAGAACACTTCTAACAATGATTTTGAATAACATGCAAAAAGTGGAACTAATAGCCATCGAAATTCATATAGAAGGTGAGGATGGAAGAATCTTAATATCTCAGAAGGGAGAAAGAAGAAGGGGATGTTGGTATTACTGTTAGTATTAAATCAAAATGTTTTACTGACCAGTTTCAGTGAGGCAAGGAGGCGATACACATCTGCCATGTCAGCAACACACAACAACCTTGTAACAGAGGACAACAATGCCCGAGCAGCCCTGACCATTGAAGCTCTTTTGGCTGACGAACATGGATCATCTGCAAATTCTTTGGCTGCAATTCGCATTGAATCACCTGAAAAGCAAGATGAAAACCTTTAACTCTTGACAAATCTACTTGCAGTTACATATAAGAATTGTAAATTAAGAATTTTAACTAAGTACTGTACATAGCTAGCTGCTGGTAATTATTGCCAACCTTGTGGCTACTAGAATGTTATATAAATTTTCTGTTTAGTTACTGACAGCAATGATTTATATGTCCAATCTCCAATTATCCTACACTTAAGGGAAAGTTATGTCTGAGTTAAATGAAAACTAAAAGAGAAATAATGAGGTCATGTTCAACCAGCAAGACAACATATTTTCAGAAACATCTATCCCTTCAAAATGTAAGGACAACTAAGGCATACAGATGATGTTAATAGACAAAACATAGCTTAATGATTAAAATACCATGCAAACATATTGAAAGACAAGATCAAATCTTTACACTTGAGAACATCAGACCTTATTTGGCTTCTTACTCAACTGCCTTGAAGAAGTTTAAAAAACAATTTAATGGCAATTCCACTGATAAAATCCAACTAACCCAGGCCATACCTGCACCACGACAGTCCTTGCATGCTGCTAACATTTCTTCTCTGATTTCAGGAAACTCTTGAGCAATTTCCTCCCCTGTTTTTATAAGCCGAGCTGTAGCATCTTCAATGTCTTGGGCAAGTTTATGGGCATTCTTAGACTTTCCAAGTTTGCTACCCTTTTTCTTTGGATGATTAACCAAGGTTGTTACCTGCAAACAAGGACATGTTTGACCACTGTCATGAAAAGGTCTTGTTTACACATGTACCCTGACAGAGATTTTACTTGTTTTCCAGGAAAGATGCACCTTACTTGAATTAATGATAGAGACATAAAAAGGGCACTTAACCTTCAGAATTCAAGCATTTACATAATATTATTAGATAAAAAAATGCCATCACATGCAATTTCTTTCTATTTGAGGGCTTGTTTAGGGTTAAAATTTTTGGTGGTGGAAGCTGGTTGAAAATTTTTAGGGAAACTTAACCCTCTTTATAGCACTTGAGACATGGAGATCATTGCTGTGTTAGTGGCACAAATTGCTCCATCCTTTTGAAAGACTGAATTACAAATTTTGGGGGCACCATTAACTTTGGTCCAGGGAAATAACTTTCTTTTTCTATCCACTGTGAAGTTTGGTTTGTCATGATCTCTTAATTCAAAATAATGTCACGACATAAAATATGACAGGGGAAAAAATTGTGAATACACACTGACATGTTCAACTACAGTTGTGGGATCACTGTGCATGCACTTACAAAACTTTTCAGTAAAGTTATTGACAACATGAAACATTCCAAGATCAGAGAGGCAACATTTAACCCCATGCAGGGTAGTCATTTCTTTCTAATTACAAGAACGAAAGGTAACTCATCCTTGACAACTGTCATATTATGAAAGGCGGCACCGAAGCAATTACTGTAACTCACTTGATAAAACCTACACTTGACGTTTAACAAGTGACAGTCCTGGACTCAAAACCAAACGAGGCGAAGAGACTTCCATAGATTATTTACACAAATACGCGGTTGATAATATTTTTGGTTGCCATTTTAGGAAAGGAAAATGGCCGCACCCTCGTTTATCGCTGAATTCTTAGTAACGAGACACCGGTAAATCGCCGGTTTAAATCGCTGAAAATTTCCTTATCAACGGTTTACAACATTGACTTTAAGGATTCGCTAACAGCACGGACGCAAAATACCCGGTGGTCTAACGTACATCCAATGACAATCCGTAATTTGTTGCTAAAATTCGTTCAGTTTTAAGCTAAACGATGGCCCAGTGAACAGAAAGGAAGAGTTAAGTAAACGTTGATAATATTTTGACTCTGTTCACTTGGAATAAAGTGTAGAAGATCTTACCGCCAAAATGGAGATTATACAGGGTTTTCACAGAGCTCTAGGTAAGATAAAAACTTGAATTTTGCTCTTAAAGCTAATTTACATGTTAAAGTAAAAACACTCAAGCTGCAGCAAGAACAGTACGGAATATTTCATCGTTCGACGAGACGCCAATTTGATCGAGGAGAAAAAACTTGGATACATGGACGCTCTCCGCTCTTCGCAACTGGACAGAATGTTTTTCGCGAGCCATCTCTAAGAAACCGTGTTGAGACATCGTTTGATATTTCAGAAAGTAACTCCACTAAAAATCGAGGTAAGCTGGATAACCCAACGATACAAAATTTACCTGGTGAACAAGTGGCTCGAGGGTCTTCTCGACTGAATGCGTCCGAATTTCTAGAGTTTTTGGATCCCATTTCATTTTACTCTTCTCCACTTTTATGTCGCCGGTCACCGAAGTCGTCCCTCGACTCATGGTTGCATACAAACGTCCTGAAACGTCAACAGGACACCAGCCACAATCACTAAATTGGAAGTGCGTTTCAAATATTTCTCGCCAAGCTACAAAACGGATATGCGGATTATTTTTATCACGTGACTAGGTTGGAATGCTACGCCTAAAATTATTTTGAGGGAGGGAGGGCTAGGCAAAATTACCAGATGAATGGATGAAGAGCTTATTCTATCTTCACTGAACAAATCATTAAATTTATCGTATGAAACTGTAATGAAGACGTTCGTGAGACCAGATAAATCACATTTGTTGATTTTTTCGTTGCGGCAAAACTATTTTTTTTTTTGGTTACATGAGAGAAGGGGGTGTGTTTTGCAAATAAAAAGCGTTTCGATTTAGATTAAATTTTAGATTAAATTTTCTCTCCTATTGATCAGCCGCAAGTTTAAAAGGTACGAAAAAAACCGTTGAAATAAGGTTTTTTGTAAAGCCAACCATGGGGTTTAGAAAACAAATAAGGCCATGAAATAAAAATCAGTTTTACACGGCGAAAAAAAGTGGGAAAGAAAAAAAAATTTGGCGGAGGGTAACAAAATCAAAAGAAGAAAAGGTGTAGTGGTCCGTGAGAGGCTCGAACTCTCGACCTCGGCGTAACTAGCATTGGATCTAAGATCCAGGTGTATCAGCACCGCGCTCTGCCGACTGAGCTAACGGACCAGCTCTGCTACAATACGGGGAAAATTTAAATAAAATAATCTATTAGTCTATGGCAAGTCCATATTTGGTGTCTTCCGGTAAATCCTCGTGAATCATCGTCGGGACGTTCATCACGAGATCGTCAGTCTCGGATGGCCGCCATCTTCTTCAGAAGCTACAATGTTTATGTCCTTACGTTTAGTTTTATTACAGCTTCTGCTTTTCTCAGGTTTGTAAAATGTGAGGCCCGCGTGACAGGAATAAGTCCTGTCGGTGATTCAGGTGGTAAATCATCCATCGTGGATGGTGTTCTCGTAATAGCTGCGGATAATTTAGTGACGCTACGATTCTACGGTGCAGGGTTTACGCATAACTCTCGCATTGCTTTTACGACTACCGCGGAAAAATCTCAGACAAAATGCGATGAGGATCGAACGAAGCCTATAGAGTTCACTGCAAACAACCTTCAGCAGTATGTAGGAGAAGCCAAAGTGAGTTTACCGAAGGAAAGCTGCGGGAAACCGCATTATGTCTGCCTTCAGTCCGGCAATGAAAGCGAATGGTTACATCAGGGGGGTTCAGACGATCCTCTTCTTCAGATTAAGTGCGAAGGAAAGACTGATCTACCTCTGTGGTTGAAGATATCATTTATCGTAGTTTTGATGTTGCTGTCAGGCTTGTTTTCCGGGCTCAATTTGGGGCTAATGGCTCTTGATCCAACAGAGCTTAAAATTGTCATGAACTGCGGCAATTCCAACGAACAAAAGTACGCCAAAAGTATCACTCCACTACGCAAACATGGGAATTACCTTCTCTGTACGTTGTTGTTGGGCAATGTTTTAGTAAATACGTCCTTCACAATTCTTTTGGACGGCTTAATCGGCAGCGGAATTGCTGCTATTTTGGGTTCCACTGCTGGAATTGTTATATTTGGCGAAATAATGCCTCAGAGTATTTGTTCCAGGCATGGTTTGGCTGTGGGTGCACACACCATTTGGATAACGAGATTTTTCATGATAGTCACTTTTCCTGTGTCTTTTCCTATAAGTAAGATTTTAGATTGGATATTAGGTGATGAGATAGGCACAGTATATGATAGGAGACAGTTACAAGAAATGTTAAAAGTTACTGCAGAATTCAATGATTTGGAAGGTGATGAAATGAACATCATCTCTGGAGTATTAAATTACAAGAGTAAAACTGTCGAAGAGGTCATGACTAAGTTAGATGACTGTTATCTACTGGATATATTGTCCATCCTTGATTTTAGAACTATTGCAAGCATTATGCAATCAGGGCATAGTCGCATTCCCGTGTTTGATGGTGAGCGGCATAATATTGTGGGCTTGTTACTGGTTAAAGACTTAGCTTTTATTGACACGGATGACTGTACTCCACTGCGCTCTGTTATTAAATTCTACAATCATCGTGTTCAGCGAGTCTATGATGATGTGCATTTGGATACAATGCTTGAAGACTTTAAAAAGGGGAATTCGCACTTGGCAGTAGTTCAACGTGTGAATAACGAGGGTGAAGGAGACCCCTTTTATGAAGCCATAGGTATTGTTACTTTGGAAGACATCCTCGAGGAAATAATCCAGTCAGAGATTGTGGATGAAACGGACATCTATTGTAAGTATAGTATCTCTTTGATAAATAATTTGTATTGATTAGCATGTATATTATACATTTTTTTGCAGGAGTAAAACAAACATTGAGAAACTAGAGCTTATGAGAATTTAAAGTAGTCTATGTGGGTAACCACATCACCACAGTTTGAATAATGAAAGAAATCTTTCTTTGCAAGAAGTTACATTATTTTCCATACCTGTCTTATATTCAGTGATAAAGCTCGGTGTGCTTTGAGAATTGTTAAAAAAAAAATGAAGAAATAGAAAATTTATTGTCATTGGTGAACTGTTTAATATCAACAACATCAATATACATGTCAATTTCAGCTATCAAAACACATGATATTATTCACTTCTTGGAATGATTATTGGCCAATGTTGTTTCACCAAAATTGTTTAAAATAAATTACAATATTTTTAGATTGAAGTAAGCTGCTTTATACTTATAAGGTTCAGTTTTTGCTGAGATTTTCTTAAAGTAACAGAGGTGCAAATGGAAAAACTTGTTTTGAAAATATTGTTGTTTATTGTGAAAAAATTGTGGCTTGAAGTTCACTATCATTAATTATAAAAGCCTGCATTGATTTGGCTCTTATTTAACCTCAAAGTTGGTTCGATTTGATTATTACCCACAAATGAAATATTCAGTAATATAAGCAATTGAATATACTGCATTTATGTGCAAGTACATATTTCTTCATCCTCATCTTCTAATACACACACTGTAATGAAAAAGAAAATGCTTAATGCAAATTAGGTGTAATTTCCCAATTTAAAACATTTTTCCAGATTCTGTAGTATTATCTTTTTTATTTAATTAAAAAAATGTATATGTAAAAGTCACAGGATACCTGTGAAATATCAGCATGAGATATTCAAAAGAGATTAAGTGGCTTGGTGTTTCACAGGAGAATTGCTTAATACCCTAGAAAATAGCTTTAAATACTGTTTGTCCTTAATTTTATTCCATTTTTTCTTGTTTTTTGTTTTTCTTTCTCTCTTTCTTTTTTATTTTGTTTTGTTTTTTTTCTGTCTTTGTGTGTCTGTTGCCCAAGTCTACAGTTATCTTATTTTATAAATCTGATCCTGTACTTGGTGCAATTATATTGATTGTCTGGCACCCAGGTGTTTTGAGTGTTTTTTCATAAAATTAATGTTAACAATTTGAAATGGTTTGTAGCTCAGTTCCAAGAGTTTTTGACGGTTTATCATTAACCTGCTTTTAACTAAACAATACCCTCACCATTAGTTGGGTCTTATAGAAATAAAGTTAGAGAAATGTTGACAAGCAGACTCTTGATAGAAGACAGAGAGATAGGTCAAAAAAAGAGTGTGGTTGTGTGGGCGCACAGTATTTTGCAGGTACTCTATATCTGGTTTCCATGTTTTCAACTTGTTTCTTTCTTGTATTTAACAGTGGATAATAAATCTAGACAAGTCATTCAAGGACGAAAGGGACCTGTTGATTTATCGTTTTTCACAGAAGAGCAGCAGAAGCCAAAAGTGTCTCCCCAGCTACAGCTAGCAATACTGCAGTATCTTACCACAGGTGGGAAGTTCAAATGATTTAATATGATCCTTTTTAAGCCATGGGTTACTGGTGGTCTTCTGCTTCTCAAAAGACCTCTCATTGCTGTCTGTGTAGCCTCAGAGTGGGTTCTTGTGTTTGGATTTTGCCTCACAGGTCCTTTTTTGGGCACAGCTGCTTTTTACACTCTGCTCACAGAAAATGTTATTGAAACACTTGTTTTTAGCAATGTACATACAGTACTACTCACATATCTTAAATGCAGGTGTAGGTATTAATAAACTTTGCATCTGAGCCCAGATGTGGTCTGGTATGTTGAGTTTCTTAATGATCTTCTTTGCTGCAATGCTGATGTGCTGTGTTCTTTGTGACAGTTGTAGAAGCATTCAGCAATGATGTCATCTCTTTCAACATGCTGAAGCGTTTAATCAACCAGCCTGATGTTGTCCAAGAGATCAAATTACATGATGAGATGGATGACAACCTGAAGTTCCTGTACAAGAAAGGAGTTGTGGCTGAATTCTTCACTCTGATTATTCAAGGAAAAGTTGAAGTTACTATTGGACAAGATGAGCTCACATTCGAAGAGGGCCCCTTTACTAGCTTTGGCACAAAGGCACTACTGTCATCACTGAATGCAAAACCCCTCGGTCAGTACATTCCAGACTACTCTGTGCGCGTGGTTACAGATGTTATGTGCTTGAAAATACCAACAGGAATGTACAGGCAGGCAGTGCGTGCGACTTTAATGGGACGGGAGTCAGAGCCAGATGGGACCATTCCAGGATCAAATGGAATGAATCATAGAAATGGCCCACAACTGCAGCCTGGCAATATTTTCTTGGAAACAACTTGTTAATGCAATCATTTTTGCATAAGACTATGAAAGAATTACACTGTATAAAATATTAAGGCTAGGATCCAAATTTTTTTCATGTCAAAGAAATTACACAAAACTGTGCATTTGATTTAACATAAATGATTTGTTTAGCTTTTATTTTTTCCAGTATACTGAATAAGGTAAGAATGAAGATGTCTCACCATCTTTTCTTTGAAAAGTGCTTCTAGCTGATATGATTTAGACAGTATAACATTTTTTCTCTTGTTTTTAAATGGAAATTACTTTGAGAATGACTTGGATAGAACAATTTGGCACAAATTCATTTACACTATGCAAATATGTCCTTTTGATTTTTTGTTATTTGTGTTTTGACTTGACTTTATCACTTCTGGGAGTTAGGGCGTAAAAGCTGAAACAGCAAAGTTCAACTGAAATCCTCTGAACACAATTCAGAGGATAATAGTTTGAGCCTTCTGGAATGTCTCCAATTTCATAGCTCACATGTCAAAAAATGCAGTAATTTTTGAAAAAAATTTGTATCAGATTAAACTGGGTTTTTTGATTTAATGTTTCAAATGAAATTTTATAGGAATGGAAACCAACTTGAAATTGTTCCTATCGTTTGTTATGCCATCAAGTTTAGTTGCTGTTAGGGATTAATTTAATGGATGAATTGGTTTTTTGAAATATTTAATGATACCGTGAAATTTCACATGTTGACTTCCATTTTACCACTTGTGGTAATTAAATCAAATTAACATTTATGCACAGGACAATAAGAAAAGTAGAGCATGATTATGTTTTCTCTTCTAAGAGACAACGAAATAAGAGAGTTCATAATTAGTGATCCGATGTTTGCTGAATCACTTTCAATCTCTTAGTTCAATAAAATTAATCACGATAGAAAGAGTTAGTTGAGTCATGTCTTTGGAACCACTCATCTTGAACTCTTAAACCACATTACCACTCGCCGTTTTTAGACCTTTTTCCTTTACAGATTTTCTCCTATAAAGGGGTTCAGCTTTGCTTTGTACATGCGCCAGAATGAAACAAGTTCCTTGACAAGTTACCTTGTTTGGAGACAGACCAGTTAGTTCTAAAACGGGAGGAGCTGTTGAGGAAGAACTTTTCCAGGACGAAATTTTCCTGTGTAGACGGTGCTGGTATTTGCGGGATCGGAAAGAAGGAAATTGAGAGACAGCCCTAATACCAGGGCTTATTCAATTGTCTTGTACTCTATCACCAGCGAAACGTAATCAAAGCGTGCAATGATGCTTATAAATTCTACAAGAGAGCCATCAAAGTAGGCTAAGGTTCCAGTTTTGTGCGTTATAACACGGTTAACATATCGCTCGTATCGCATTCTCGTTTCGTACCAAGCACTCCTACATCTCGTCGAAGGAGCGCTGCTCCTCATGAAAGGGGCGCGGTGCTTGATTGCTATGTTGTAGAATGCAGCGGAGGGGCTGGAGATGAAGCTGCTTTTTATTCGTTTTAATTTTTAAGGCGCCAAGCCCTGCATTTCTTCATGGAAAGTTGGAAGGACAAAAGAATATCTAACAACAGGTTGCTTGTTAGATATGCAAATATGCGCGTAAAGTCACGTTCAGTTGTATCCACTCCCTCTTCTGGCCTTGCGCACTTGAATCCTGAAAGTGTGGACACATCGTGCAATTAGTCAGGAAACAAGTCGCGCGATAAGTCACGCAATAGATCAAATGACATGTCACACGACAGATCACGCCTCAACTGAAGTCACAGCGAGAAATCGTTCTAAAACAAGTCGCTGTGATTCATTTTACCGCACAACTTGAATCAGTTTGAATTTGGGCTACTTGTTGCGGTGGCAAAATTCTACCAAAAAGACTGAAGAGATGTTTCACAAAATTTCTCCGATTCGTATTATGCAGAATTTTTGTCGCGATTTTTCCCAGCTTCTATGGTGTCGAAGCCTTCAGAGTTTAAACCGGTATGGAATATGCCTAGAGGCCTTCAAGCCGATTTGTTATAATAAAACAATAGAGCCTATGTTCGTGGGCATATAAATATGTTTTGGGCCTGACTCAGAGTCAATTTGACCCGAACTGCTAGGTGACTTTGAGAAGGACATAAAACATATTTATGCCCATGAACACAAACTATATTACTATTTGGAGAACAAAAATCTCCGTTTTTGCCCGTAAAATGCGCCACAATGCGCGACAAAGTGATAAGAATGGTTTCTTGCGCAAGAAATGGTCAAAATGATTAGAGAACGCAAGGGACCATGGGAAAAACAACTCCTCTTTCAGCCAGTGGACCCTTTCAATCACGCGCAAACATGAGACATGTTCTTGCTTGGTGTGAACCACAGCTGAAAGCACCAATCTTACTTTTTTATCGAGGCAAATGCAACCAGAAAAGAAAACAAAAGTGTATACGTCAAAAACAATTATTATTCATTATTTTTTATTCAAATTTTATTTGAGTACGGAAAAATGTTATGAATGACGTAGATAAATAAGGCGCGAATAATGTGTATGTGTAGTGGATTTCACTTGATCACTTTACTGTTTGTATAAAAGCAAACCACTTAGTAATTTGCTTCATGGTTTTTTCTTTAAAAGCTATTATGGAAAAGTTTTTTTGGAACGATAGTACATTTATGTACTTCGTTTTCCTCGTAAAAGCAAGATGGCTTCTTACGAATCAATAACATTAAACATCGAGTCTTTCAAAAACACCTTAAAATTCAAATCATCTTATGAAGAACCGTTTTATTTCAAAACAGGAAAAAAATTCATCGGGTGAGAAGAAAGAGTTTTGATTGCGGAAAATACAAATAATTTGTAGAATAAATAAAAACATGCCTGAACCAAACTTGTTTCTATCACTTTGAGAACAACTCTGTATGATGATGAAACACTCACCTCCAACATCTCTGGAAATGAATATGATCAGAATTATTCGAAACAGCGATGGAAAAGAATAGTTACCCTTACATTATTTTAGTTTTTTTAATTTTAATTAAAATAGTTTAAAAGTTATCAAAATATCTTCAGTTCCACCCTGTGCTTGAGATTCAGAACCAAGTTTCATCACTATTACGAACTTGATTTTGTAGTTTTCCCACGCGTTAAAAATTCTTCTTTAAATGGAAGTGATGAGTTACGCTCTTGCTTCTTTGCCTCCGTATCCGGAAATGCTCACGCGACCGTTTGTTTCCTGCGCCAGAACGTAGCTGTTTGCCCTCGCTGTTCGTGCAGGAATTTCACTATCCTCCCCAGATATACAAAAAGATCCCTGTTTCAAATCTGAGGGGAAGTTTCCAATTTCCAATGGAGAAGCTTTAGAATGCGGATGAGATTGAGAGAAAGAAAATCTCATTTGCTTCATTCCACATGAAATTAATATTTTTGCAAACGCGTGACGAAAATCGCGATTGCGATGAGTGTAAATGATTGGGTTCACCATAGATCCGCTGTAGTGCATCCACTTTGTAAAAGGCACCATTATAGCGTAATCAATTTTACACGTCTTGCAGTAAGTCGTCACAAGCAACATGACAAAGAATGGTAACCAAGCAACGACGAAAGCTCCAATAACTACTGCAAGAGTCACAGCGATGCGGATTTCCCGCGCAAGTGATCGCGACTGTCTCGCTCGTTCCCTCGTTTGCGCTATTTTATAAATCAAAGCGTACGCAATGAGGATAATAAACAGCGGCAAAAAGAAGCTCGCAGTGCTCACAAAAACAGGGTACCACCCAAGATACGATCCACTTATGTGACTGACGCTCGCGACCACAAGGGCATATGCCCAGGCAGCAGCAATGGTTATGCAAATAGTCTCGCGTGACAAGTTTCTATGGATAGTCGGTTGTGTGACGGAGATGCAGCGCTCCAAGCTTATCATCACAAGGTTCATGATGGATGAAGTACCACAGATGATGTCATAAGTGATGTAAATTTTGTACGAAAGTGTATCTGTCTGAGAGTTAACTACAGTTCAGGAAAAAGAATAAGAACAAATAATTAACACATAAATATATGAAAATGAGCCTATTTAACTAACTGTCAACGAAGGTATTGCATTGTTTTTGCTTCCTAGCCCTGCAATCTATTAAAAATAGAAGATTCTCGTCCGTTCTCAACCAATACGCTGCAGAACTTTAGCCTATCATCCCTAGCCTCATTCGCAGCCGTTGTTTGCTCCCGTCACGCAACGCCTTGTCTGCGAGAGAAGATGGAAAGCGATGCATGACAGACCAAAAACGGTCGCACAGGGGACTGGTAACGATTCTAGTTAGCTCTCGAGAGCGCTCTAAAGCGCTTCTTTGAGGTTTTGTTTGAGAACACTCATTTGAAAGTCGCTCAACAAAACCAACGCCTCTTCTCCGGTACATCCCACAATAGAGCGTATATGCAACGCATATCAGTTTTTTTCGTGATATGGATTACGTGAGTAACTTTTTGTCCAGAAGTAAAATGTTTCAAAGATTTCGCTTATTCGATGCTTTAATGCATCCAAGGTGTTAAACCATTTTTTTCGAGAAACATCCTCGATAGGCCGCCCTAGGGCGACTTAAATATTCATGATTCCAGCTTTATTTCATTTTTGTTTTTTTGTTTTTTTGTTTTTCATTTTTATTTTAAACACTCAAAATCCTTGCTTTTTTAAGTGCCAACTGCTGCTTCTAAATTTTCCCATTAACGACGAATAGTTTTTTTTAATTTTTGTCATTCACCTTTCCAATTATTTAGCCTCGTAAATCACGTCGTTTGAATCATTAGTCTCTGTGGTTTTTCACTTTGGAACGTTTTCAAATCTGGCTGTTCGGTTTTGATGAAAATTTTGTGCGGTTTTCAATAAAACAAAAGAGCTTATCTCCGCAGGCATAAGTATGTTTTGGACCTGAATCAGGGTAGTTTTAGCCTGAACCGTCAAGTGAGTGTAAAACGAAAACTAAAAAGGTTCCAAAACGTATTTATAGCCTAGAACATGATCACTTTGGAAGGCTTTGAGAAAATAAACACCGAAAAAAAATGACAGCAGATCAGTCTAATCTCTGGAGTGTTAAAATTCTTTTTTCTTTTTTTTTGGCACTTCGAGTTACAACTGACCGACAACACGATTTGAAGATTGTTCCCTTTCTCACAATAGCAAGGCATGCGTAGAAACCAGCGACCTCTTTCTTTCGCGTCAACACGCGTGGAGGCTGTGAAGCGCGCCGCGCACGAGCGAGGCTTCATGCAGCGTAAATCAAAGACTCTGGTATCATGTTGAAAGGGCAAATATGACCGTGCTTATTTCCTCAAACGTTATTTACTTATCTTCTATTTGTTGACCTCTGAAGCTTTGTTTTTATGGATGAAGCTGAAGTTTTGTTTTGAACACGATCAAGAGACCATCAGCTGATGTTTTTTTGTTGTTGACAAATTGTAGGACATGATCTGTTTTCTTTACTTGAAGAAATGTCTTGAGACGTTACAAATTTGGCGTCGCTAGGGTAGACATCAACACTTAAATAAGGTTTTGATAATATTCTTTCGAGATCAATCGTAATATTAACGTCTCTGAACACTTTCTGTGTTTAAATAGGCTTGGACAACTCGCGCCATCAAGTTTAACTCATTAGCGGAAACTCGATAAACACTTCAAATATTGTTGACAAGGTTGTAATGAGACGATACCTTTGTAAGATGCACGCAAAAAAGTATCAGTTGACGTGGTTTGTTATTTAAGATCCAATCTTAAGTATAATTTATCGAAGGAGAACTTTCTAGCAATTGGTGAAGAAAGCAAAAAAAACAAAAAACAAAAACAATTCATGGTAAGGAAACCGAATAAAAACCAAAGTTTATGCTCCCTAACATGCCGTACAAGATAAAAAAAACAGTCTAGCTATACTGAAATAACGTGAGGATTAGCACGTTTATGAGTATACCATTCAAAAACAGATCATACCACCTGTTTTCTACTTTACCTTTCTAAAAAATTGTTTTCCAGAGAAAATTTACTATCATTTTTGGATGGAACTTAAACATGGAAACACTTGAAGTGTTTCTCACCATTTGTTTCCCGAGACGTGTCTGAATGCGGAAATTTCTTACAACAGCTTCGTCGGAAATTAACAACTCGAGGGTTTTCTTTTTTACACCAGATAAGAAGCATATTCCTGGTATTTACAGAATTTAACGTAAATGGAGATACTTTGCGCTTGTTTACGCGATGAAGATCGACAAAGTGTCAATTGCTTCATCAGCATTCTTTGTTAAAATTTGCGCTGTTGTTGCGTAAAGTAATTACAAATGGCAAACATATGCATACGTCACACGTCATGGTTCCTTCAGGTTAAATTTTCTGCTTCACTAATCTATTCAGTTCAGTCGTCTTCGTTCGTCATATTTCATAATTGCCGCTCTAATGTTTTTCTATGTTACCAAACTGATAATCAGTAGTATCCTACAGAGTTGAAGGTAGACTAAAAGGTTTAAGAACTGTATCAAATTTCGTGACATGAGTCTCAACTGAAAAAAAAATAAATAAAATTTGCTGAGTCTTACCTAACCGGAAATACACCCAATACGGTACAGAAGCAAGTCCAACCATGATGTCGGCCACCGCAAGCGAAACCAAATAGTAGTTTGTCTTTGTTCGGAGCTTGCGATTCTTGTAAATCGCTGTACAGACAAGAGAATTTCCTGCCAAAATGATCAGACTTAACACTACGAAAAACAGCGACTCCACGATAAGTGATGCCCTCGTTGCATTCAGATAAGTGGTGGTGTTTGTCGGCATGGTAAGCGTTGCTTCGCGGGTCTCACCTTGAACAAAAGCAAACAATCATTTGAGCGCACAGCGGCTCTTTCTGAAACCGATCTGGTTATCTGCAATGCAATCTAAACATACTTGATAATCAAAATGTTTCCGATTTTCTTACCTTCAGTCACAATATAACAACATCATCTTACACCGCTACTGGTTTCTGGTCACGATTGGCATAAATGTTCCTCAGAAAAGTTAATATTTCTAGCCGAGCTAACGGCGACCAAATCTTGCGTCGTTCATTTAAATTCAGAGACAGAGAGAACAACAAGCCTCTGCATCTCTTTAGTTACGTGTAAAGTGATAAACAACTCATGAAAACCAGTGTTGTTTACACGATCACACTAATCTCAATTGTTTTGGTGGGCCGGTCACAATTAATTAACCTAAGTTATTTAAAGTTCTCTCGGTCACAAAAACTATCCGTAAATCAGTTTAATTACGTTGTGTGCGTTTTGAACAACGTATTATTAAATTGAGTTCAGAAGACATTATCTCTTCAAAGTGTCTCCAGGACCTTACGAAAACGAACGACTAAAATTCATCTTCTAAGAATAACTTTAAATTTTGATTTGATCCGTGGGTAGTCTGTCTTTAATAAATTTCTGACAAGGTGAAGTCATCTCGGTAGAAAGTCACTTACATAGTCAATGAATGTTTTTGCAATCCAATGCATTTACTGCGGTCTGCAGTGATCAGTCTCCCGGACACTGAATTACCAGATTTTTCTACTAAAAACGTCCGATGTTTCACCAAATACATTGCAAAGGTGTAACGGTATTACTGCGTGACTTGACAGGTTTTCTGTACCTGACCAATCAGAATCGAGAACCGAAAACAATTAAACAAACAGGTCTTCGGTAAGCCATTCAAGACCCACTGAACCACATTGCCAAATTCATCAACATTCCCTCAAGGTGTTTGTTTTCGACGAAAACATTGAACTATTTTTACAACCCGCTGGTTCAAAATAAAATCAAAATACGTCCCACCTTAACGTCTTTAGGCACCATGCAGGGATCTTCATTAGCCTTCTTTTCTGTGAGAATTGTCCGCATGAATGAAAACTGAAATTACTAGTCAAAATAAGGTTGACAAAATGATAAATTTGCACGCAAATTGGATTCTACCGGTGGAGGCTTTTAAAAGCAGATCAAGAATTTAATGAAAGGTAAGGTTTCAAGCCTATGAAAGCAGATGTTTTCTTTTTTAGAATAAAATAAAACAAGATTATTGATTCGCATTATTGATTTCTTTCCCTATTGGCGGTCTGTTAATTGACGTCTGTTACTAAAGAGCGTGAAAAAATCAGTGCGCGTTGATTTGGTTTCAAAATTGGCTAAAGCCATCAACTAATCCTAAAGAAAAAAAAATCAAAGAAACCAAATTCGTGCATTGTTGGAGTTACCGGTTCCTTAAAGATACTTCCTACCTATCTAATTATTATATATATTTTTTTTTGCAACGACTATTAAAAGAGATTTCAGCTCTTAGGAAAATCTGAAAGAACTCAGGAGATCGCCAAGACTCAGGGTCAAGACTATACACAAAATTTAAGCATTCAACGTTGTATTTTGTGGTATCGTGCTATTTACCAATTGTTTTACGCAGATCATACTCGTGCAGGTCCGCTCTCTCTTTTTTTATTCTGCGATTTTTGTCTACGGTGGGAAAACACGCCGAAGAAGAGTGAGCGGTGAAACAAGTTGCGGGATTTAGAGATGATACGGCAAACCTTTACTTTCGCTTACCGCTAGTGATGCTATACTGTTAGAAAAGACAGGTGAGGATAAATTCTATATTTTTTTTAAAGAGACATTGTCCAACGTGACAAAATATGACGTTTAAATGTTTTTCTCAAAGAAGATAATTAGTAGAAATAGTTATTACACAGAGCTTTCTTGGTAGACCGTTCATTGCTTTATTTAGTAAACCAAATGATCCTACAAATTTATGAAAATGGCCATCGGCACGGGTGGGAAATCTCGTCTATACAAGAAGAGCGTCGTATAAATCGAAAACCAAAGAAGATCACGAGGAACCAATGAGAAATCAACGTAAAAACAAGCAAACTGCCTAAAGCGTCGCGAATGGTTTGAGTTTTGCATGTGATTGGTCGAGAGGGTGGTGCGAATTTCTTAGACCAATCAACGCCCGAAGTAAGGGAAAACCAGTGCAATATTGGATGACTTTCGACTCTCAATTCTAAATTGCTCCATTTTCTTTGTTTACAGACCTTAAAATAGCTCAAGAGCGTTAATTTATGACTCATGGAAACGACTCAAGAAATAAAGGGGAAACAAGTTTGCCTTTTTTACGGAAAATGAAAGCTAAAGTCAAATAAACAAATGACAAAAGTTCACCACAAAGATGATTTACGCGATGTAGCTTTGAGTTATGAAATGTTAGCACTGGAGGCCATTTTTACAAAAAAAATAGAATCGATCTGCTGAAATTTGGAAAATCAATTTGCAGGTGTAAGTAAATTTTAGTTTTTAGCTGAAGTTGGAAATTTTCTTTTGAATTAGAGCGTCAAAGATGCCCAAGTACAGAGCCGACAATAAATGAGTGATCTAAAAAGCGTCATAAAAGTATATACAAAATAAATGATCTGTTAACAGGAACTTAAAAAACGCTATCAAGATCAAATAAAAGCTTTAACTTCCAATATTTATTTCAGCAGATTTATGCGGAATTTCCACCCTGTATTTTAAAAAATTATTCGACTTTGAGAGATATTTCAGTTGAGCGCACATTTTATAGATCATTAGGTAAAAATTGAAGAGTAATTCACCATTAAAAATATTTCTCCTTTATGTGTTTTCATGTTCTAATGCAAGTCAGATGACTTTATGTATTTTTGTCCATGCATAAAATTAATGATGACACGTTTTTTGCTTTTTATCTTAGTTCAAATCTATTCTGAGATTTATTTTAGACAATTTTGTTTTTGCATATTCGCAGTGATTTTATTGCATAGATTTGTAATTCCAAAAGAATAAACATGTAACGCGGGTAAAATGCGTAACTTGTGCTGTTGACTGTATTTAGGTTGTTTTCAACTCATGTCTGCAGTAATTGCTTTTTTGGAAAAAACGAAAATGGTTTTCCGTGATTTTTGAAATCAACTGAAATCAACATAGGGTTTTAACCTGCTTCGAACGATGAATTATTTCTGGGATTTCGGCTCACGTACAGTTAAAGTTTTTCTTAATAATAGCATTTAAATTTTACATCAACATTAAGTCCAAAATTGCTTATTCAATTTCATGAATAAGTTGACAAAAAATCGTTGGCAAAAAAACAAAAAAAAAGATGGGGAAGGTTATTCCCAGTGAAAGAAAAAAAGTGCAGCAAGATTTTGGGGTAAATACTCTGTTCTTATTCAGTTGAATGTCAATCCGATGAAGCAAAGTAAAATTGATGAAAGCTAGAAAATTCAGCATTCATCTCCATATTAACGATTCTTGACAGCACTTTAGACAGGACTCGATCAAAGAAAAAGCTTTTTAGCATTTACTTTCACCCCACGGGCAACAAAGGAAAATATTTATAGCAACAGTACACGTAGTTGAGAGGGCCAGTCATATTTCTTACAACGAAACTGAATCCATCTTTTGAAGCAGGCATACAAACATTTTTTTTTCTCAGCACGAATTTTTGGGTATAGAACAACATAGAAGTCGTCAATTGCATAAGAACAGCATTTGGAATAAGCAGTGTAGTTCTTATGTAACATTTATTAACACAAGACTTCTTTCAGTCTGTATGTAAAAATAGAAAACGAAATATTTATCCACTTACCAATTGACGCAAAGCCAATGAAGTTCCTGCGGAAAGCTTCGTTAGCTATAAAGTATCTCTTCTTTCGGAGTGAGTTTCAAAACACACAGACCTAAAACCACAATGACAAAGAGTTTGCGAGGCAGGTGTGATTAATTTGTGTCCTGAAAATGAGAAAAAAATGATGCGTGAATCAAATAAAAGGGATTCTGTTAGATAATCGTTCGCTTTTCATACGTGCGTTTCCAATTTGTACGTCATCACAAAAGCATTAATACAGTCTTTACGTTCGAGAAGAGCATGTTAGTCATTAATATTTCTTAAATGCAGTTTTTTTTACTTTTCGTTGGCGTCGCTGTCAAACAAGGCCTTGTTGAATTAAACAGGTTAACATTACGCTCGTCAAGGCAGATATTTAAGGAAAGAGCACACTACCTAAAATTATAAGCAAATGTATCATAGCAAGGAGTAATTTTAGAAATCATATCTTAACTCTTAGCACAAAAATACAGAATTGAAAAAATAAAACCTGCCTCAGCGATGTTTTGAGATTTTCTTTTACACTTTACACCTGGAGTTGATTCGAACCTGGAACGCTTGTTGAAAAGTTTTCCGTGAAAAATGACAAGTTACTTTCGCCATAACCAAACCACACTGCTCAAAAATTTCGAAATTATCCAGTCATCATATAGTTATTACAAGATCAACCCTTTATTCCTTCTTTTCAAAACCAAGAGTAAGCTGCTTTTATTATCATATATCTTCCTGTAATTCAAAACTCGATCTCGATTGCACATCTTTTATTAACAGTCTTCTAGAATCAATCTCAGCCGCCGGTTTTGTTTCAAATTTTAAATTGCCACATGACTGAGGACGATGTTTCAAAGCTCTTTCTTTCATCGCTTTAGATTTTACTTAATCGCTGCAGTTTATTCATATGCAATGTTTTAATTGATTGAGAGCTTGACGAATATTCCGGTGTCTCTAAACTTCTTTATTTTCGACGTGATTATGAATATATAAAAATTAATTTTGCATATTTAGAAAGACCTACAAAATGCGCCCTCAACACATGGAGGTACTGAAAGTTTCATCATTTCTATCTTAAAAAATTACGCTATCCACATTGCTGATCCTAGCAGTATGCAGGACGCGTGTCATAGGAACTTCGTAATAGACTTCGCTCACCGTAGAGTCCCTGTGGCTCAGTGGTAGAGCATCGGAGCGTAAATCCGAAGGTCTGAGATTCGATTCCTCGTGGGGATCAGAATTTATCTTTGTCCTACGCTCGTGACAAGACGAAAAAAACATATTTCTTACAAGTATATTGTTCCGCCCTCTAGATAATCTGATTGGCCCGCAGCATTAAGTCATATTACCTTGGCAGTTTTCCTGAAACTTTTTATCTATCTTCCTGGGTGGAGAGAGGCCTGGGTGGAGTGAGAGAAAGAGACCAGTCACTATTCATCGCCTACGGTTGGAAGGTTTTTTTGGGGAAATCACATGGTTTTCTGGAGAAGCGGAGCGGGATCAGTCGCCAACAGAGTATTAAGGGCCGGGGGACTATAGGAAATTAACTGTCAATTAACCGCCAATGAGATGGGATCATTAAGAATATTACAGATTACTATAGTGGAATCAGGTGAATTTTATACCAACATACCACGGTCACACAGCTGACGGAGGAACCAATTTCTTTGCCATATTTTCAGCAATGTACTCACATGTGATCACAGTGCATTATGGGAATGACAATTCTCACGCTATTAAATTTGATTACACGAAATTAGTGGCTATTTTACACATATATCAAACAATTATTCGTCGAAAGCGAAGAGAATATTGTTGAATAACCCCCGCGACGAAGTCGCGGGGCTTATTCAACAATGTTCTCTGAGCCTGACGTGAATAATTGTTTTGGTATAATTGCTCAGCCGTTGGAAATTCTGTAAATAAAGAAAGCATTGCGCATGTTTTGATACAACTGTGTCGATAACTCGTATCAAGATAAGGAAGGAATTTTAGTATAATTATTTTATTCACTCAGCAAAACCTTTATATCTCAGTTGCTTTTGAAAAAAGTTCCGCTAAACTCAGAAACAACCTTTGAGCTCTTCGCAATTGAATTGTCTTCTATTGTGTTTATCAGTTCCACGAAAACATTGACAAAACGCGAGGCAGCCATTTTAGAGTTGGCGCTCCTGTTATAATCACCGCGCGCAAGGTGATTATAGCAATCCTCGAACAATCAGAGCGTTCGCATCTCCATAATCACCTAAGTAATTAAACTAAAAATAAATGTGTGTGTGTATATATATATATATATATGAATAAGTGGTTTATCATCACTATTTATTTATTTATGTAGTTGCCTAATAAAAAATGTGGTACCTGTATGCTCAATAGTCAATTAGTGAGCCAAAGACATATAACAACTCGACTAACGAGTGGGGTTGAATATTCTGCGAAAGCGCGGGTCAGATAAAAATCCAGTCCTCTAGAGAGGATAAGAACATGTTTCAAATGTGCGGAATAGTTTGTAATGGTGTTTTAATATATTAGCTTTCCTGGAACAAATCTAGCAGCTGTTTCAGACCGTCCAGTTCCCAGCCATCTTTCATTGTCAAGTACGAAAATGGAAACCTTAACCTTTTTTATCCAACCTCAACCTTTTTTATCCATCACAGAGATATTGTATGACTTCTGTCCTTAAAAAAGACATCTTTTCTTATCCAGTCGCTCTAATAGAAATTAAAGGTGTGACGAGGCAGTTGCGTAAAAAGATGTCCAGGTTAGTCTAATGTGAACTTTGTTTCGTCCTTGCGCGAAAAAGAGGTACCGTAGTGATTCAGCAGTCTCTCTGTTTCTCAGAAAGAGTTACATCCGGTTTTACTTTGATTTGTGTTTCGGAAGAATGGCGAATAAGCAGATAACATTGATTCTTCTTGTTTGTAGCGTTGGGAAATTTAGGCTCAAGCTCAAGTGAGCCCATCCAGGAAAGATCGATTTACTTTTTTTTTTTTTTCGCTGGCTTTGTTGTATTTTAAAAAGAGCTGGCTCTCATATCCGTCAATATCAATGTCGAACTCCAATTATTCAAACATCTGCTTATAGCCCATGAACAGAGAGCAGTCAATTCATTTGATTTATGTTTTCGTTATGTACCATTTACTTCGCTGTTGTTCAGAGAATCTAATATTCACCTCCTCAAGAATATTCGTCGTTGAAACTCTACAGTACAACATCTACGTCTTTTAAAAATACATTAAAAAATCGCACAGACATCACTCGTTTGTGAAGAAACCACAATATGTTTTGTGTGTATGTGGGACAGTTTTCGTCCTTTCACACTGAAGAACTCATTAGAGCTGACAAAAGAAATATGCATTTTTCAATATTTCGACCTCATATATCCTGTTGTAGGGTCCTAAATCAGTACTAGCAACAACTACCATATATATAAGTAACTAACTATAATATATATAAGCAGAGTTTCGCGAGAAATCTCAATATGTCTTTTTCCTCCTTGATTATATCAAAGTTTAGCGGTGAAATCCTATATTTCACTCAGCTCTTCTTTCACTGACTTTGTTACTAACCTTCTGTGTTCAGTCAAATACATTGACGTTTACTAACTGCATTTGATTTTCGGTCTCCACCGATGTTTGTAAATCTACTGATTATGTTTACATCTTGATCCTGAAAACAAAGGGTTTGTGAACAACTTTGACAAACCGCATATGCAGATTTAGTAATCTATGTCCATTGTTACCTTTTTTTCTGACAACATACATTAGCTTCTACTGCGCGACAAAACAATGCCTACGATCGCCATTGACTAATACGTTGAATGTAATCGCAGCTGACAATGGAAAGGAAATAAAAGATGTTATGCGCGTTACACTCTTGTCTAATTGAGGATGATTATAACTTTTCTGTCGCGTAACATGCACAAATGTCAAGCCAACTTTCTCTATTCGATTGACGCGCACTTTCCATGCATAATTCCCACAAGACGCTTTCGACTTTGCTGATTCTGGCGTAAAACAGGGCACTTGCCAAAGATGAATCTAGTATGGCACAGCTTACCCAAAATTTATCTGTAGCTCAATTGGTAGAGCATTTGAAGAAAATAAACACTGTATAGAAAGTCGTAGAGTTATTCGAAATTGGCATGCGCGTCGCATCATGTGCACCATAATTACACCTAAGCGCGACCGAAAATAACATGCCATTTTGAGTAAAGATGGTAGAAACCGCGGCACAATTGTAAGAACACAATCAAATCGATAGAGAAAATTGCTCGAGAAGCTGGAATAAAATGTTTCTTCGTCTTGTGACAAGCGTGGGACAAAGAACAAAAATTTTCGCCTAGAAGTATCAGTTTCAAACAAAATGAAATAGTGCTGAACAAGCAGATGACTCTCCAGATTCACACCAGCTCAGTCAATTGAGCTTTAGATTCACCATTATCACTGGTGCGCGATTAACATTACATCGACGTTCAAATTTTAGCAATAATGTTTGTCCAATAAGCCATGAGTCTCCACTGAACACTTAAGCTAAGTACTTAACAGAGGTAAGGTTTGTCTCGACTTTTTTAGCATATTTCGGAATATCAGTCTTCCACTTAATAAATATTATCTTTTGCAAAAAATGCCTTGTGGTGTTCCGTAAGTTCAGTGTCATGGATGGTTGGATTAGAAGTCAATTTGGGCAAAATCCCAGAAATTTCATGGCTGTACTGTTTGTGCGTTGTCACTCGACGGAAGTAAATAACATTAAGCACAGGAACCTTTTCAAAACCGAGTTCGACGCTTGTGTTATACGTTAAGGGCGGAGTTTTTCGCCTTTCGACTTTTGGTCTTATAGCGCGGATTACGCGGCGCCGTTCATGGATGAAGGAAAACCATGATCCGTGACTTACAGTACGAACAGAAAAAGAGAAGGTTGGAAGATGGTTACTGTCTCTCTCTGTCTCGCAAAAAAAATCGTTGTTTAGCCATTAGCACAATTCGTAGACAACAAAAGAATTCAACTTTCGTCTGCCCTCTAATCTTGAGAAGAACCAGGGGCAACCATTGAAAGACCTTGGCAACATAAACAACCTAAAATTCAGCACTCCCGCGAAATGAGCAATAAAATATATTACTATGAAAATATAAACCAAGTATTAAAATTAAAATTGCCTGAAACCTTGTTTTTTTTTTTTTTATTTTTAAACATCGGTCTGATTTCTAAAGGGCATTTTTAACATCAAGAAATGTCAAGAAACATTGCCATACTCTGATATGCCAATCAGGGTGTTTGCTTTCGTATTGTCAACAATATGCAAATTCAGTATTTGATTTCTGAGTCGGCTTTCACAAACAGTTGATTTCGAGGAAAAAGCGTGTTCTTTATATCTGTCTTAGATATGTTTCCACAGTCATCAACTGGAAGATTATTACGGATTAATTTTTGCTGATATCGGTTTCGTTAATATAGACACTTTGCGTGCTTAACAATCAGGAACAAGTAAAATTTAGAAACTATTTTAAACTAGTGTATAAAATCAAATTGACCAGTTTGTTGACTCTGAACGATGATAGTTATAGAGCTTAAAAAGGCTTTCAATCTTGACAGAATTTTAAAGTTTTTGTCCGGCGTCGAGCCTTTATGGGCATCACAACTAGACGAAAGCTTTGTGCTTGCAGAGAGGCGTTGAAGAAAGAAAGAACTTTACAGGTTACTCTGTTCTTCAGGAGTTTTAACTGGTCAATTAAGATGAGTTTTTATCAAGTTATGATAACCTCCTTACCTCAATAAACTGACTGTGGTTTCTCACACGAATGACGAGGTCTCATTCAGCTTTAGGTATTTCACGGTTTCCGGTTCAGGTTCTAAAAATTTTTTTCAAAGGAGGTAATGCTCTAGTGGCCGAAACATTTTCGTGACGGTTAAGGAAAATGTTATTGACGTATGGTGATATTCCTTTTCTACGTTTGTTCCCTTCAATATTCCAAATATGGTAGACTGTTTTTGGAATCACGTGAACAGTTGGGTAAAATAACATGTATTTTCATCCAAATAAGGTTTAATGAAAATAAACACGCAGATATCTCCCACAAGTAGTTCTTAAAAAGTCTTAATAGGGTGGTACCTCCGGCTGACTGTCAATGGCTAGAAATAAGCCGTTAAGACTTACGTTAAATGGCTACATTTTTCAATTATTTGAAGACTGAGGGTAAAGCAGTACAACACGACATCACGCTCAATGATTGTGGTTAATTCAACCTCGATTTTCATTAAAATAGGAGATTTCTCATAATTTAATGACGCATTTCATTTTATCTAAATAGAATCTTTAGCGATAAAACTATATACTTCCTACATAACTGTTTCCTTATTTGTAAAGAAGACGGAAAAGATTCTCTGCATAAATACATTTTGTAAATAAAAAAAGCTGATTTTTTCTTTCACTTTGTATGCCATGAAACCCGTTTGG